CTGACTCCAGGCATTATTGTCATTAACTTCAATATCAGCATTAACTTCAATGGAAAACACTATTTTCCCTCAGAGGGTCTTTTCTCATTTTACCACTCTCCACTGATACAGTGGAAGCAGGGGAGAGTTGAATCTGTCCGTCTTGATTTGACTGCTTTAAATTAGTGAGTCTTTGAAGGGCTAAAGAACTGAACCAAGGTACTCATATCCCAAAAGCAGATGTCTGAGGACAAATAATCTTGGCTGTTTCATGCTCTCATCAGGGAAAGGTGAGATTCAGGTATTGTTTTATTCTGATCGCACTGCAAAGCTCCAATCTTGAAGCTGGAGGGAAGTTAAAGATCCAGTGCATTTCTCCTTGGAAAAAAATAATAATTCCAGTATTAATAATAAATTTGAATGTTAGAAAAAATTTCTGCTTGGAAAAAGTGGTGATGCAGTGGCACAGGCTGCCCAAGGAGGTGGTGCAGTCACTGACCCTGCAGGCATTCAAGGACCGTGTGGATGTGGCACTGAGGGACATGGTTAGCCAGCATGGTGTGATGGGTTGGATTAGATGATCTTTGTGGTCTTTTCCAACCTTAATTATTCTGTGATTCTATATTGTGAATAAATAAATATTTCACTATTTTTTTTTTAACTTTATCAATATGTTTAGTTTCAAGAAAAATAGTTTTGAGCAAAGGAGTCTTTATGAATTAATGATTATTATATTATCCAGTGTTTCTATTGCTTCAGTAAAATCCACTTTATATATATATGTGTGTAGTAGAGACCACAAAGCATTTGGGAATCTTTCTGATGCCAAAGAAGTTTATGTCTCACTCACTTGAAATGATCATTAAAAAATTCATTATGATTTATTCTATAAAAATATGCATAACTGTAACTGTCATTTTCTTTTTCCTTCTCTAACACTGTGTATATATACACACTTACATAAGGGGATGTTTGTATTTTTGGACATTACTCTCCAGGGAGTCAGTTATGTATTGCATGTGCATCTTGTTTTGGGAAAGAAGGATTCTCTTACATTTCTTGGTTTTCATTTCTTATCTTCTGTTTCTTGCCTTCCATTGCTGTGAATACTTCTGCAGGTATCTTAATGTGGGAAGTGTTCACTTTGGGAAAGCAGCCCTATGAGCTATACGATAACATGCAGGTGATTGAGAAAGTTTCTCAAGGATACAGACTTTATAGACCGCAACTGGTTTCAGACATCACCTACCAGATAATGTACAACTGCTGGCACGAGGTATGTGTATCTGCATGTACATTACAATGCATTTCAGTGTCAGTGTAGGACACAGGGTAGGATTCTTCTACTAATTTATTGGTTTAAAATTTGAATTCTGAGTTAAATTCCTATGATTACAGGATGACTAATTGTACCTCCCCATGACCACTTTTCCCATCTATTTTAGCCACCACAGAATATGTGTTATTTCTATTCATAAATAAGTATCTTAATTAATTTAGAAGTGACCTCTACCTTTTTAGATAGCTAAAGTTGCACGAAAAAAAACATCCTTAGAACAGAAGGAGTGGGTTATCCCATCTGTGAGTATGCCAGGAGTCAAATGCTGATCATGCTGATGTTATCTTGAGAGATGTGTTTGCCATGCCAAGAACTATTCTCATTTATTGTTTCTCTTCAACTAAATTTTAGTCTGTTGTCTGTGGACCATGACTTGTCCCTCACCCGCAGCAAAGAACCATTTGGCATATTGTTGGTGATACCATGAAATGACAGCAATGACAGACTTTTTAAACATTATTGGCAGAAATTTGAGAATAACATTAATGTAAAGAAAGAAGAATAAATCATTGCAAGAGAAGAAAAATATAAAAAAAATAACTTTAATTTTCTTTGTCCCTTAAGCACCACCGTCTCTCCGAATTTCTGCATGCATTTATAACTAAATAACTGTATCCATCATCTTTGCCCCATCCAGCTGCCGGAAAAGCGTCCTGCCTTTCATCAGCTCCTATCATTTTTTGAGGTGCTGAGAGAAGACAGCAGGCCTTGAAAAAGAAGATTCACATACAGATGACTGTGCATACTTGTTCCATATCGTCTGCCTTCTGTGAGAGAGTGAAATCTGAACTCTTCCTGACATGAGCCACCTCTGTTGTACTGTATATTAGTTTCTAATTTAATTAGGGATTTGACCAAGAAGTACATGGGGAAAGCTTTTCTGATACTCTGCAGGTGACAGTACCTAGAAGGATGCTGTGGAAGAATGTAATTCATTCTGTCCACCTTGTCTCAAAGAACTCCTCAGACACTGAGATATAAGGCAACTATATACACTCCTTCCATGTTTCCAAGCTGCCACTGTTTGGCCTTAGCTGGAAATGTAAACAAGGAAATACATGCTAGTTAGGCTTTATGATTAACACAACACATCTGAATGAATTGTTCCTTTGTAATTCCCTGAAGCTAATGCTTGAGGTCAAATGCAGAACTACTGCAAGTAACGACAACATAAATAGTTATCACTTCACTTTCAATTACTTAGAAATTGCTATTGGTAAAATATTACATCAGTTTGTTTACTAGTAGTATTGATTTTAATTTTGGTCCTTGGGGTGTATGTCTGATTTTGAATTTATTCTAAGCTGCGTATCTAAGATATTTGCAACTATGCTACATACAAGAAGATCTTTAGAGAGCTATTGCTTCTTTCCACACTTTTTTTTTTTCTTTTCATTTTCTTAATGTAGTCATTGCAATAATAAATGTTAAATTTGGCAGATCTATATAAAAGGTCAAGAGTAAAAAATTTGAACAAAACTTAAAACATCGTAGTTGCTGAGCTAAATATTTTACTACTCAGCAGCAGAACATTCTCTACTGATATTAATACTGAATTGTTAAATAAGAACACCCAACTTTCAAACATGCATAGCACTGTGCTAATTAAGGGCCACTTCATTCCATCTGGATATACCAAATAAACTTGAAGTTTCATCATTGTAACAGAATCTAAAGTTACATATCAATATTTGTAAAATCTAATATATACAAAAAATGAAGAGGTTGTGAAATAAAGTAATTTCTGAAAAACTTCTCTCCTTTGAAATGGATGCTTTGTTGTAATGAAATTGTTAATCTTGAAAACAGATCTGAGGGTGGCTGTTATGCCTAATTACATCATTTCATATTTTGTCATTCCTTGTTTCTGTTGAGGTACTAGTAAGTGGATAAAATACATACAGTTGAATTATTTATCTTAATAACTTATCTTTATTTATGTTAAAGTCTAGCTAAGTACTAAGATTTGAGGATATTTTGGCAATCAAATATGTGGTATAGACAACTTTATATGTCTGCAGAGTTTGCAACTATTACTTTCATCTGCCTAGCATTTTGAATCTTCAGTTGCCTCTTGTCCTCACCACTCTACCAGCTATGTCTTTGTCTCCTTAAGCCTTGAATGCTTCCCAGGATGGAGATTCCACAGCCTGTTCCAGCACTGTAACACCCTCCTCACAAATAACTTTACCTTTCCAGGTTCAGACTGACCCTCCCAAGCCTCAGTCTGCTGCCACGCTACATATTTCAAACCAAATGCAGAACTTTGCACTTCTTCATTTTCACAAGGTTTCTGCTGGCCCAGTCCTCGAGTTTATTCACGTCCCTCTAGACTGAAGCTCTGCTGTTTTGTTTTATCAATGCATCTGCTCCTTCTGATGCCACCACCATAAGGGCAGCTGGAGTTGACAGGGTATCACAGAGCTTGTTATCTGTCTGTGGGTACCTAATTTCCACCCAAGGTCTCTGGTTATTTCCTGGGGGAACTGGTCCCTCTTTCACTTGCCCAGATTCATGATCCTTGAGGTCCCTTCCAACCCTGGCAATTCTGTGATTCTGTGATTCTGTGAGGTGGTGGAGTCACCGTTCCTGCATGTGTTCAAGAACCGTGTGGATGTGGCACTATGAGATGTGGTTTGTGGGCATGGTGTGATGGGTTGGTGGTTGGACTGGTGATCTTAGGGCAAAGGGCAGAGTAGTGAGAGACATTCACTTCCCTGTCCCTGATAGCCACACCTCCTCTAATGGAGCCTAGGATACCATAGGAAGGCCAATGGTAACATGTAATACTATTTATTTTATATGTCGTGAGAGCATGGTGCTAAGATTGCCTGTTTGCAACTTGCCTCTTAATTCTTTTGTGAAGTGCATGAGACATATTTGAGATTCTACATAAAATGCATAGGCTGATGAAAGTGAAGGCTAGAGACATGTGCAGGACAATGTTATTTGCAGTGATATCCAAAGGGAAACCCGGGACAAGAGACAAAGTCATGATATGCTGTTTGATAAAATACTATAGGGGATTCATTTATCTAACTTTAAGCACATGAATTAAGCATTCAATGTAGAAATCAGTGCTTTTTGAAGTTGCTGATAGAGGCAGTGAAAGCAAGGTAAATGTGTCTTTTTTCTCGGGTACCTTCTTCAAGCATTTTGGAAGCTCTGACCTTTGTAACAGTGCAAAATGATGAAATGTAGAATCTCTTCATGAAATAGAGTTCTTATTTTCTGCCAACTCCAGGCCTGGTTTCTCTTACTTATGTATACGTTTGCATATATGAGCATATGCCTGCACATGCACACATACATTTAAAAAAAATAAACTCCCAAAACTATTATATAAAATTATGTGACAGCATTTCATGACCCTTTTGGGTCCCTTCCAATTCAAGATATTCTATACTGCTATTATGTCTGTGAAATACTCATTTGTAATAATAATTGCACTGTAGTGCAAATAATAGTGAATTATAATATACTGTAAATATAGTAAATTTACTATAGTATCTATGTAACTTTACAATTCATATTTTTAATATGCCATATTTGTAACACAGTATTTGGTGTCATGGAGGCAATAGCTGACTTACTAATCATTTAGTATTAAGGAAATTTATTTCATGTTTCAATACAAACATAAGACAGATTATTTATATATTTATTTATTTATGAGGGAACGTACACTATTTGGCTTCTACAGTACTTACCCAGCAAGTTAAAAAAAATAACTTACGTTACAGCCTCCTAACAAAGTTCCAGTGCTTGCTAGTCATCATTCAGCATGCATTTTACGTTGACACAGATTCCTGAAGGTGCAAAAACTGCTCTTACCAAACTGTGTTCATCACTAAGATTCTTCTGGTGGCCTTTTTTTTTTCCTTACTGTATGTTAGATAGACTTCTGAGCTCTCCATCTGGCAAGATATTCCTCAGGGGCATCACAAGTATGTGCGTTACTCTCATCTGTCTTCAGCAATATGCAACTCTATATTTCCAAGATTTTCTATCTCATTACAGAGGAAACAAAGATAAATGGGATGTAGCACACCTATGAAAAGTAGCACAGATAGTGTGTACTATGATGAACATAATTCACAGAAAAGCCACAGAACATAAAAGCCTTGCATTTTTGCATGTTTTCTAGTTATCACATAAACAGCAGATTAAGTAACCGTTGCCCACCCAAAGTCGTTGTGTCTGACGACATCCATAGTTTTTTGGTCCTTGCTAGACACCACTCTTACAAGTGAAATGAAAAATAAAACAAAAACAAGCTAGCATGTCTTCTAAAAGGATGTCTGTGTCTCTTCAGATAGCTCAAAACCCTTGTTGCTTCTTCCATCTTCATCATAAGGGTTCACTTCACAGTTTGCTCCTGCTTCATTCGCTCTTTCTCTTGCTTTCCTGTAAGGAAAATTATTTTTATATTACAAGCCCTTGTGCTGTTCAAGTCCTTCTGGATCCCCAGAATAGGCTATTGTAAATAATACAATTCTTAACTGGGAATATTTATACCAAAAGTGATTTTGTGTTTGTTTTAAGGAGAACTCTAGCAAGCCAACTTACATTCTCAGAAATCCCATTAACAGAGAGACATAAAAAACCAAATACACTCGTGTTGATGCAATAATTTTTAAGAGAAATGGCATCCCTGGTAAACCTCCAAGATCTCTGAAGACTGCAGGTGCTGACAAATGTGGGCAAACCCTTCTGTTGAAGCAGGCACTGCGCTCCAAGCAGGCTCTCCATGAGCCTTGCACCAGGGCTGGCAGAAGAATGGCCATGCCACAACTCTGCAGCCACGGCATGCTTAGCTGCCATGGTTAAAGTGCTGATGAAAAGGAACTTGCAAAAGCTGCCAAAGCTGTCATGTGTTCATCAGGGAGCTGAACCTTTAGCCATCATCGCTGATGGGAAGGGGAGGGCTCATCTGTAAGCACCCTGATGCTTTAGTCATGGGGTCTTCTCCCAGCAGCCATTATCATAGTATCAAAAATACCACTCACTTTCTTCTATCCCTCTGACCAGTGATGATCAAGACAATAACTCCAATGACAATCAGACTCATGACCACCCCAAATACAATTAACCAGATGGTGACTGGTGGTTCGTAAGGTGTGGCCAGGGTTGGTACTATGCCCTCGAACTCCAGCGTGTTGTCATCCAGTCTGAAAGCCTCACTGATTCGTCCCCGAGACATCCTGCCATCAAGAGCACATTAAAAGTTTATTTGAAGGAAATAAACATTTTTCAGTTCTTTTATAATTCTCCAGAATGCTAAGCTCCCACTGAACTGATCAGCTGATTGCAGGAGTTACTGCTAAGTCCCGCACTCCTTCTGTCACAGCCTGGTGGATAACAAACATGATAACTTAAGCCCTTAACCCGCTGCAGCTTAAGTAACATGTTCAGACACTGCCTAAGCTCTTAAAACCAGATTGAACAGCTTATCAAAATGAGGAAAGCAGCTTTCTAATCTCATTCTTTATTTTTGCTTTGTTTCTTATTCTCTTTACCCATAACTAACTCTGTTATGTGACAGAAAATCACAGCCTTGCCGCCTTCTTACCTACTTCCATCCTATAGCCTTCCACAACCATGATCCAGGATGTTCTTGCCCCAAACACTTTCCCTGTTGTCTTTTCTTTGTCTTTCCCTGAACTTCTGCTTCTATCAGTTCAATCTGGACAATACTTCCCTGGTTGTACTGTCCCTTGATTCACTGCTTCCTCCAACTACTTTTTCAGTGCCATCTTACATTGTTGCTACTTTTAGATTTGCGCTCCCTTCTTTTCCCCCTGTATTTTATCCATGACCAGCTGCAGTCTTGCAGTTTTACTCATCATTTTTACAGCAGTGACTTACAGTGGTGTCAAACTGTGCTATAAAAGAGCTGTTCATTGGCCCATAAGTGGGAACTAGCTCCTGCTATGACCTCTTCATTTCTCTCTGATCAAATACATTTGGCTTTCCTTCTAATGCATCATTTTAGTCCTTGCTAACAATAAACTTTGCACTGATTTTTCAATAACAAGAGGAAAAAAACATTCATGCATTTGTGCATGCAGACACCATTACCATGCTCCATTATTTCAGAATATAGGATAGTTCCCGTTAGAATTTGAGCAATGACATTTCCTGGCAAAGTATGATGCAATTAGGTGTGTTATGGCAGTTTTACAAGCCCCTTGAAGCATTTTTCATTGGCTTCTGTCCAAGATACCATCAGATAGATGGATTGTTTTTCTTCTGTCATAACAGTTTCTCTCATCCTAATATTTCCATGCAAACCACAGAACTGAATTTCTTATCTCGCTTTCTACTTCATCAGGCTTAAGCTTTGTTTTTCCTTCCACCCTTTCATACATTTTTTTTCCCCAGAAATGAAAATCTCACCTGATGGCACTTTCCACATCAGCTCTGGGCACGATATCACTGACATTACCTGGCATGCTGACTGTAAAGTAGAAGGAGACCCTTTGCGTCTCTTCCCCAACATGAATATCTGTAACCCTGATTGAGAAACAGAAGATAAAGGTTTCTCCACTTGAGAGATGGCATTATCTTCAAATTCAGGTAAGGGAATGGTTGCATTAGACAGGCAATACTGGTCTATGAGAGAAGGCTTCTTAGTGAACTCAGTTTGGAATCGAAAACAATTATACTGTTATAATTTCATTTTCTGTGTGCTAAGGAGTACCTTTAGATGGAGATAGTCTACTCCATATCTGGGACAATCCTTGGCATAATTTCCCAAAGCACATCATCAACTACAGAACAAGAAAGTTTGGACCTCTTGAGTGTTTGGGATGGGTCTTGTAAGTAAGGTGATGTATGGAATACCGAGTGTAAAAAAATTTCATATTCTGCTAGGTATAGATCCTAGAAATTACATGATTAATGTTCTTTACAGTAATACCAGATAGTTTAAGTAGATAGCACCTGAAAGTTTTTCAGGAGACTAAGAAAAAAGGCATTTTTTCTTACTGAAATCAGTCTCAGATTATAGATTTTATGTTTGTAAGCAAACTTAGATAAGATTCATAAGTCTGCATAGATTTCCAATGCATTATGTTCAACAAGCTTATCTTTCTTTGGCCCAAAGCTTCTCAGATGTACAATATCATAAATATATATTGTTAGATTTTTTTTCTAATCAGTATCTCTTCTGTGATATTCCTATGTCTGCACTGTTTAGAAATTCTCAAGGCCCACTTCTCCATCTGATAAGCAGCCTAACTTCAACACACTGCTTCTGAACTTCAGTCTTCTCAGGAAGAGAAGGAACGGCACGTAACAAAGCGAGCACTTTGTCTTTTGCAACCAGCTGATGTCTGACATTGTTGTTATCACCTTTCCTTTTTGTATTCAACAGAAATAATAATTAATTTCACCAACTCATACAAGCCAGAAGCAATACAGACATAGCTGGCAGGAGTAAGAAAACCACTCACTGGAAGTCAACATTTTGTTTTTTCTCCTCTGCAAAGTATTTCCTCATGGCATAGGCAATGGATGACTTGAACAAGAAAAGCTCATTTGCATCCCACACATACTGCAAAGACAGAACAAGAGATCATCAGAGGTGATAGTTGTACGGCAAGTTAGAAATAGTAAATGTAATGCTTGGCATGCACTTCTGTTTTATTTATTTGTGTCATGACAGCATTGCAGGAAGCTACTGAAACATTTTAGCTTCATTAATCTGGGCACTTTGCAGAAGAATAACCAAGAAGGCATCCCCCACTGCCACACAATCCAGCACACTGTCCCTCTGCAATTCCTGGTAGCTCTATGTGGGCTGCTGAAGCTGTTGCAGCCCAAGGCATCTCCCTGGGGCTAACCAATAATTATTGTGTATCTGAGTTGAAGTCTAATGAATTTTTTTGTCCCTCAAAAGCCTGGATTTGATTACATTGCAGGAATGTCTATAAACAGTGTCAGTAATAACTTTACACCATTCTTGATATGTTCTTGTGTGATATTCAGGAAGGTATGCTAGAAGCCAGCTTTGCTGTAATGCTGGTTTATAGAACCCAGGCACACTCTCCCTCTCTGCTCTCCTGCCGGCACAGAATGATGACAGAGGAACACAGTGGAGGTGAGAACAGGAGGAGCCCACCATTGCTGCTCTGGGCTGCATCGGGCCCCATGAAAAGCAACAGTTGTTCGTTTTATCACTTGTCCCCCACATTTAGGCTTTTTTGTTGCTGTTGTTGCTGTTCTTGTTTGTTTATTCATTTCTCATTTATTTATAAACTAGATGATAATTGAGCTTGCTTCCACTACAACTGCCTTCTGTACTTAGCAACAATAACTAGGGCAATGAAGCTGTGAGGGGTCTGGAGCACAAGTTGTATGGGGAGTAGCTGAAGGAACTGGGATTGTTCAGTCTGGAGAAGAGGAGGTTCAGGAGAGACCTTATTGCCTTCTACAACTCCGGAAAGGAAGCTGTGGTGAGGTGGGGGTCGGCCTCTTCTCCTAGGTAACAGTAATAGGATGAGAGGAAATGGCCTCAAATTGTGCGAGGGAAGATTCAGGTAGGAAAAATTTCTTCTCAGAAAGAGTGGTGAGGCAGTGGCACAGGCTGCCCAAGGAGGTGGTGGAGTCACCTTTCCTGGAGGTGCTCAAGAGCCATGTGGATGTGACTCTCAAGAACATGATTAGTTGGCATGGTGTGATGTGTTGACAGTTGGACTAGATGGTTTTTGTGGTCTTTTCCAACCTTAACAATTCAATGATTCTATGTGAGAAATGACCACCCACAGACTGTCCCTGGGTATCTCAAAAATCCCACCTGGTGCCCATTGTTTACCACAGAGGCTGCTTTGCTTTCAGAGTCAAACAATCTTCCTGTGTTCTCCACAACACCCCACGTGCATCTTCAAAGGCAAATGCACACTGGGTTTCTAATTCTGAAAGAGTTTTCCATGGAAAAATGCACCTACATACCAGCAGAATGACTGCTTTCCATTTCAACCTGCCTTATGTAATGAGATCACACACATAACAGTCACCCAGTGGGGAACTGTAAATGGATGTCTGAAGCCATGTTTGTTTTCAAATGGTGGCACAGAATTCCCATTCATGAAATTTTTATTTTAGATAAGATAGACAGAATGATTCAGAAAGGAACTTCTAATTTCTTTGTGAGGGCACCTGCATAACACCCAGCCACAGCAAAGTTGTGAGTGTTTCTGCTTCATCAGCTACACTGATGCTCTGGCTGCAGCTTTAATTTCATCGGCCTAAGAAAAATTAACAAGGTAATTGCAGCAGAACACAGTCTGACATAGCTGGCACAAGGCTATCTATGAGCCACAGTGCTTGATTTGACAGCAGTTTGTGCTACTGAACCTTCCCTGCTGGCACCATCCAGGGCACTCTCTGGGAGCTGCAGGACTGCCTGATGGAGATGCAACTGCCCCTTATCCTCCTTATACTCAGAATGTCTCTGCTGTTCTAATCACAGGATCATAGAATTGTTAAGGCTGGAAAACACTTGTAAGATCATCTAGTCCAACCAGCAACCCATCTCCATCATGCCCATGAACTACGTCCCTCAGTGCCACATGCACACATCTCTTGAATGCCACCTGGGACAGTGACTCCACTTCCTTTGATGATGACAAACACTTGCACCATATTCCCAGCTTCTGTGCGCTGTGAACCATTAAAAGGGGCAAAGTAAAAAGCTCCCAGATGAGAAGGTTTCTTGCACAATGGTGATGGGGACTAGTTTTGGAAGGAAAATTCACGGCTTGCTCATCAGAGCTTAGGAACCTACTGTCCATACAATAATTCAAATTAAGTAATCTGTATGAGATTATTTTACAGCTGCTCAATTGCACAACAAAAGCTATGATGGCAAAAGGCAGGCATAAAAATGGTATTAAGCTAAACATTAACCATAATGACTAATAAATGTGTTGTAATATGGAACCTATTCATGCCGCTGATATCACTGTTGAATTGTATCTAACTTGACTCAGCGGTCTGGGAAGCAATAAAGTACCAGGAGGGCATGTGTGTGAGAGAGTGATAGAAGCAAGAGCATTAATTCCTATGAAAAATGAGCCCACGGTACTGCAGCCCTGCCAGTCCAATGGGCTCGGCGCACAGGTCTAAATGACCAGCTGATGACACACACATTCTTGGAAAACTGCTAACAATTTGCAAGGTGTACACAGCTATTAGTGTGAGCAGGAGTGTGTGTTCTGAAGCCTCTTAGGCTGCCTCTGTGAGACTGGTATGAAGAGATACAGCTAGAAAAAGGAGCAAACTGCCAGCCAGGTGGCCGTGCTAAACAGAGGGGCTAAGGCAACGCTCTACTTAAAATCTTAAAATGCATCATTTGCTTTGCAGAGTGTGTTTGGCTGCTGTTCTGTTTTATTGGCCCACCTGGTGTCATCAGGCAGAGCAGGCACACTCATGGGAACAAAAGCCCTTTTCTTCCTGTGCTGCCCAGCACATCTGGGCCCTATAGCAAACATGCAGAGATCCAGAAGTGTTGTAGCAGGAAAACATTTGATAATATTCAGTGGAATTCAGCCTCTCTCTTTTAGGTCCATATTTAATGTGAAGTAGCCACTTGAATTTAATTTCTGAAGGCAGCTACTGCAGCCATGATGGAAGAAAATAGGATAAAATCTTTATTTTTATTAAAACACCAGCATAGCTGGTGCTAATTAAAGCACACAGTTCCTCCTGTGCTAGCCACCAGCTAAAAAATGATTGGTATCTCCACAGAATAACTCAGCCCATCCAGCAGAGATGGATTCCTTAACATGAGCGAAGCTGATCCCTGGAGAGATGCCCCCAGTTACTCTAGATGCAGTGTGAATGACAAACCTAGACGAGACATCTTCTGTGTGATAACCCTTCATCTCTGCTCATGCCACCCTTCAGACACAAAACCAACCCGACCCTGCCTCACTTCCTGAGAGCAGCCAGCACAGCACTTCTGTTGCCTAAGCCACACAATGAGTGTCCCAGTGCAAGTACACTTACCGCGTTATCTCCCAGTGCTGCTTTCAAGCTGATGCGTACCTTGATGGCATTGTCAGAATCTAATTTAAAAGAAACAAGGACTGTGTCAGAACAGCGACATAAAGTTATTGGGAAATACAGGGGCAGCTTTACTTTTCTTGCAGCATCATCTGCTTTCCCAGGCCAGCTTGGTGGGATTTATCTCGTTTCCCATTAGCCACCTCCACTGCCAGCATCCCCACTTGAGCCATCAGCCATGACACTGTCATGCCCTGCTTTGCAGTGGACAGAAACAAAGAGTATGTCCAGAGGGCAGACTTCCAGCCTTAGAATCATAGAATCATAGAATCACAAGGTTGGAAACCTGTAAGATCACCCAGTCCTTCTCATTACCATTGCTACCACAAACATGCCTTGTTCAGACATGTCCTGAAGGAAACGCCTCTTTTGTTCAAATGGAAGGAATAGGCAGCTCAGATGCAAGTGCTGGTGTTTGGGATGGTGAATCCTACCATGAGGGACAGGCTAAGGGTTACAGGGCTCTCCAGTATTGGCAATGATTACAAGTAAACACTGTGGATTGTTCAACACTCAACATCATCACAACAGGATGAAATTTTTCCTCCGTCTCCTCCTTTTCCTCCCCCTGAGTTCCCTTCTTTGGATAGGGCAAGACAGCAAACAAAAAGAAGTAACTTTTCTGTACTGGTTTTCCTTTCCATGAGTGAAACTTACTGCTCAGTGTAATCTCCCATAACCATCTCCATACAGAGGAGCCTTCAAGAGCTACTCAGAGACAGGGACTTTGCTGGTCAAGGGCTATGTGGACTAATGAACACCCTTAATTCGCCCACAAAAAGTACATACATGGTGTCCAGTCTGTATTCCAGCCAATGGATCTGCCAGAATTGTTCTTTTGCAGCCAGTTAAATAAAGGCTCAAAGTAGTGGAGCAGGGGTGTAGCATTCATATATTTTTCTCCTGTTGCGCTTTCCAGTGCTTGAGTCCAGGGCTTGGATTTGCCTAATTCAAGCAATTGTCTGTGTAAATGGAAGGAGAGGTAATATATATTATTAACATGTTCTATTTAGACCTCTAGGAAAAAAATCTGCAATCTATATAAATGTTTTTATTAACAAAAATAAATTATTTTCTCATTAACAGTCAATTCAACCTTTGATGTTTGCATCCTCAGCTGATACAAATTTATTCAAATTGTCAACATGAACTGAGAAGGCAAATGCTAAATTTTCAAGCAAAGTCAACTTTTGGTGTAACCTCATTGTCTCTGAAAGTTGTCAAGGTTGGCTTTGCTATGCCCTGACTTACAAATGTAAGAAACTGGCTTTGTTACCTCAAATTCCCACCAGCTGCTGTAGAATTGGTGATGTCACATTTGTGAAGAGGGCCAGTATGGTTGGCTGCCTTGCAAAGTGCCTCCTGAAACTGGAACTGGTAAATTGTCCGGGTGTAATACCTAAAGGAAAGCAGGGAGCAGGAAGGCACATATTTTATTAGCTGTCTGTCATGGAAACCCCAAGCCCTCAGAGTTTAGTAAGTTGTGCAGTGTCAGCTCCCTTTTCTGGCTTGGGAAGCTTCACTGCAGGGAGGGAGGCAGCTAGTATTTACAGGCTATGTTAATTATCATGTAACGATCCAACACAGAAGAAATGCCCCGTCTACAATGATTGTATTAGATGATCTTGGAGGTCTTTTCCAACCTTGGTGATTTTATAACAAGAAAGGTTTTTAAGGCTCAGCTCTCTGTTCTGACTGAGCATCCTGAGATGAGGTGGCTGGGGCACAAATGGACATTCAGAGTCAGGTACTTCATGGCTGCATGGCCCAAGTGATGGTGATACGGGGCACATTGGATTCCAGGAGGAACATCATAACGATGTGCTCCCAATGGAATGAGGGCTGAACAAATCTGCTCCAGTTGGCAAGAAGCCCAGCAGCTTCCTGGCCAATTGGAGACTGCTACTGAGAAGCCCATGATGTCCACAGAAAATTTCCACTGAAATCAATAGCCTTCAGTAAAACAGAGTAAGATGGCGTTGTAAGAAATCTACAGTAGATATTTTAGGTAATATATCTTATTCTGATAATGTATGTCTACCTTATGAATGAGTAGTCATTAGCCACATGAAACAGTGCAGCGGGGTCGCAGTACGTCTCGTCATGAGGGACTGGTTCAACAACACCAACTATTTCTCTCCTGGGGATGGAGGAAGGGAAAAAACACAGAATTGCCATTAATAATTAATAAGAGCATAAGTATCTGATTCTGCTCTTTCCCTGTGTTGTCTGATACATGTGGGCACCTCTCTTCCTTCCAAACACAAGAGGTACACACAGCTCATGGTAACCTCAACTACTCGACAGCTGGAGACCACAGAGAAGATGCTGCTTTGAAACTGATGGCACAAGAATAGTGCCTACAGCAAGACATGCAGGGAGTAATTGGTGGTGTGAAGTATGCTACGAGCGTGTGAAGTATGCTACAAGACATAAATTTCAAACACACATCATGCCATGGGACACCCCAAGTTTGGACACTAACACTTGTGGTTTCATGCTGGGTGAAAGCACATAGAGACTGCATGGCCCAAATGGGGTATGACCTGCTCTCCTACTGGCCTGGAAGGGAGGCTTTTTTTTTTTTTTTTTTTCCCCTGAGAGCACGTTTCTGCATCAGTACTACTGCAACAAACTCATGCCCTAATTTCTAAAAACAGTAAAAAGCTTACAGGGAAATATTTTTCATAAATCAGTATGACAAGGTCTTGTTCCAGCATGGAACTTTGCAGTATCTCTACAACAGATGTAATAAGCTTCCCTGCGCAATTAGTCATTCTCCATTTCTCTGACATCTCTGCTACTTTTGAATAAATCGAAGCTGACTGATTTTTACAGTAGGTCAGAAGGCTTGCTGACATCATTTTTTATCATAGAGTTTGTTTGATGATGGTGGCTTTGTTTGTATTCCTGTTAGAGAGCCATCTTCATTGTGGGGCTTGTTTGGTTTCTTTCAGTTATTCTGCTCCCATGTTAACCATCTCAGGAAATGACTCCAGCCTGAATGAAGCTACTTTTTTATCTTGAACTACAGAGTGGCAGAAACAGATTGGCTGGTGAGGATAATATCAAGAAGCTCCTCTAACTGCTACTTGCCAAGGAAACTGCATTTTCTTAACGGAGAAAGGTAGCAGTTAGCAGGAATATGAATTCATAGGAGAGGAAAGAAGCAGTCTGGGTTCTTTTGGATGATTTACACCCAAAACCACTATAAAGTGGAGAGGAAAAGCTAAAGAGAAAATCATGCTGACATATTTGTTAGACTGAGATCTGTACGTTTCTCAGGCTGGCAAGTGCAATTAACTCCACCCTCCACTTGTCCTTAAGGGGTAGGGAGCAAACAGAGTGTGCTTCAGTGAGACTCAGGGAAGGGCTGTGGTCAAGCTATGAAGATGACCTGGGGCTTGCATCAAGGGGACAGCAATGCTGATCCCGGGATTTGGAAGACTCTGTGTAAAAGCCACAAGTTCATCCGAGAAGCTGATGTTAGAAATGAGGAGAAAATCTGCTGGGAGGTAAGTAAGTTACCTGTGGCTGAACTCAGGGCTAATGGGGATACTGTCTGTGACACCTCATCTGCACCACATTGGTAAGATCTACCTGGCATCCTGCTGGGCTTTGTAGAAACACCTCAAGAAACAGACCTTACACAAGGGGACACAGGTATCTCCATACATTGAGGAATTAGGAACAGATGGTTTCCAAAGTTATTTGCAAAAAGCTCTCATTTCTCAAACTTACTTCATCTCCCACCACCGCTTCGTCCATTCCTGCTTTGTAATCTCACCATTAAACACCATCCACCTCCACTTCTCCAGCATGTAAGTAAAAGGCATTGTTCCAACAATTGTTAGTGCTTGTTTGAGCAGAAAGTTGATTTCAGTTTCTGAAGAGATAAGCAGTTAAGGTAATGGTTATGGTAGCGGTTAGTATCTAATTAGGCACCTACAGTTCCTTCCCTTTATAGCTAACACTTACATATGGTTTGAGTTACAGGTTTTCACTAAGGAAGAAGTGGAAGAAAGAATACTGCTGAAAAAACATGAGCAAAAAAATCACTTAAATTTTGTATATGATTCTGCATCTTATTTTTTTTTTTCACCCCTACCTCTTCAATAACCTAACCCTTAGGCATTTACATGCTATTTTCCTCCAGCGAAAAACATCCCAGGGAATTCTAGGTTGAAGATCTTAATACATCTCCATTCTTAGAATGTAGTACTCAGAGAAGCCAAACAAACTGCATTATAGTGAGGGTTTACCTCACCTATGTTGTCCACTCAGTATTCACATAAAGGGGAATGTAAATCTCAAGGCTTTAGTTCCACCTAATTTGCTAAATAAATACCCTGGTAGAGAAAAGTATGGCTTTATATACTAAATTTTTCAAGAAAATAGTCTTCAAGAAATAGAAAAGACTCATTGGAAGCTCATCTAGATGGGCTGTGAAGTCCCACAAGTGTTTTTAGTTAAATACATATTATTTATATATTTATTCACCTTCATCCTCTTGGAAAGTTGGCTCAAGGAGGTCGAGAGATTTCAGATGCTGTGGTGTTGCTGCAGAGAGTGACATGATTTCTCCTACTGCTTCATGGAAGCCCTCATTGGCCCCGTCTCGCAACAGGAAGGGCTGCACGGAGTACGCCATGTCGTACTCAATGTGGCCCATCTCATGGTGCGCCGTCAGGAAGTCATCCATTGTCACCTTGGTGCACATTTTGATCCTGTGAGCCATAGAAGAGCATCTGTGGTTAGAGATGGTGCCTGGACTGGCTGCTGCTTGAGCCCTGCCTGCATCCTGAGTAGCCCTAGTATGTGCTCTTGCAAGGGTGGGGCTTGGAGGAAAACCCTGCAAAACAGTTTCATTGATTTGGAAATTGCACTGGGAGCATGAGAAAATAGCTGTTTTATATGAAGCATCTGCTCCCTGAAACTTGGTCATAAGCTCATGGCATGAGTAAGAGCCAGCATCCATTTCTAAGCAGGTGGTAGTGCCAAAAAACCTGTGTGTCAGTCACTCCTGCCATTTCATCCTCATGCAGGTACCACATAATAATGGACAGAACTCATCCCAGGAGACTTCACTGTGTGAGAATTTGCTGTCCCTCTCCTTTCCCAAGTATTAAGTAAACTGATGTTTTTTCAAGAAGCTCTGGGAGTCTGCCTTCCAGTTCTGATACATCTGCTAAATACAGCTGGTGGCATCTCAGGGGTTTTCATTTGCTGCCGAGGGACCTGTGCCACTGCTGCAGAATGTGTACACGTCCATAAATCCCACTTATATAAAAAAGAACCTACATTTATACTTACTCCTTAATCCCTCAAACATAGTCACCTCTTTAATTCATATAATAGTCACTGTTTTGCTCAAATTTGAGAACAGTCCTTAGATCTTCACAGGAAAAGATACACAGTAAGTTTTACAATGCCACAGGATCCTCCTTGTCTTTCTTTTTCCCTTTATCAGTCAGAGCGATGAATAAAGTAATGTATAAAGAAAAGTGAAATCTTAAAACAGCATTGTGCGCCTCTAGTGTAAAAATGAATGTTTGAGGAGATGCTATGAGAAAAGGTCACAGAGAATGCAGTACCTGTAGTCATTCTTCCCCATATCCCATGCTGTAGGATGGCAGACAACCTTCCTGTTGTCGGTGGGCTCTGTGAGCATGGAGTTTGTCCAGAAGCCTGCAGTCATGTTGTAGAGGCCAATAGAGACGAAAAAAGCCTCAGCAGTTTTGAATATTTTCAGTGCATCCCAGTTCTGAAACAGACAACGTCACCTTTGGTCATTTCTTCTGCGTGGAGCCTGTTCTCAAATGTTGACTTAAAGCAGCACAGCTGATTTCACATCTGCCTCTCAATGACTTCAGGTCATCACCCGAATTACTGCAAGTCAGATGGCAGTGACTGCTTTTGGGCACTTTTGTAAATTCTGCTGGGAACTGGAATTCAGTGTTTTCTCCACAAACAAAGTAGGCTTCTGCAATCAGAGTCAGCAGATAGCACCTGACCCAGACAAGAGAAGCCCTAAGTAATAGATAAGGTTGTGGAGATAATTAAAGGCTCAGCAATATGCCAGGTGTGGGATCTGATTTTTCAGCCACTTCAGTGGGGGACAACTTATTGGAAGCAGTGGAGCAGTGATCATAGCAAACGTGTGAATGGAGGGCTAGCCAGAACTTTAAACCCGGCAAATGCATCTGTAAGAATTGCCACTAAGATTGTAACTGAATGTCCAGAATATTTTCAAATGCCTGCATTGACTGGGCTGAGTTTTCACAGAGATTTATGTGGCAGATGGCTAAGTTAGACACCAGTCCTAAATTAGGCACATCCACAAACAAAGATGAGCCCAGACTTTGTCCCTGCGGCTCTGTAAGCAATGCCTCCTTTCCTCACAGTGGTGCTTCACAATGTGTAAATTTAAGACTACAGGGGGTACAGTGCTAGAAAATATGGGTGAGATTGATGCATACTGCTTATGAATCAAATTTAGCTATCCACTCTTGCCAGTATAACATTTGGATGGAGCAGTTCCTATTTGTGGAAGGTAGATATCAGGTAAATAATCACATTTCAAAAGCCACATTCCATTTAACTCTCTCTTTTTAATAAAAGCAGTAGGGTTCAGTACAGAGAGTTACCTTCACCCATGTTCTCAGTCTTGCAAGAGTCATGGTTATTAACACTGCACAACTCAAATACAGACCTTATGGTGCTATGCAGTTATCAAAAGATAAGAGATAGGTAGCATTTCAGTTTCCTAGCTGCACCCAAATAAACAGGACTGGCAAAAAAATCCTGTGATATAGAAATTATTTGATTATGGTAATAGTTTGCAAAGCTCATATTTGATACCAGCCAACTCCATGAGTCCTACAATATTTATATTTACAAAATGTATCTCTTAATAGATAAGTGTCTCAGGAAATAGACTCGGAGCTTAGATTAAGCCAGGTTAAAGAGACTGGAGAACAAAGAGAGGACAACAGTTAAGGGAAGAGCTACAGTAGGAAATGAATGAACACATTAAGGTGAAGAGCAGAAAGCAATTCTTTGCTAATGGTGCGACTGCCTTAGGACAGCTTTGGTTTTCTAGAGAGTGGCTGACATGTGTGTAACTTTTACTCCATCTAAATTCCTAACATAACACATATTGAATAAAGACTTCATCATGTCTTACCTTTTGAACCATAGCAGAAGTTACGTCAATGTTTGGTTTGTCTGGATAGGGAACAGTCAAGTTATACAGATTTGTCCAAAATCTACCCCACATATCACCTTCAAAAGAGAAAAAAAGCAGAGAAGAACTTTACATAATGCTGTATTGTTCAAAGCTGTCAGACAATCCTATAAATTGTTCGATATTATAAACAGGAATGCTTATATGCCTACACAGGTCTGATCCAGACACAGAGCAGAGGGGAGTAGCACTGGGAAGTCACGAATATGCCACAGTCCAATCAATAATCTTTTATTCCCCAAAATTAGCCATTCAGTGGGTGTACAATAGAGTTCCAGGACTGATTACCTTCCTAAAGGTCTGCTCAAAACTGAACACCCATGTTGCTTGCCCATGTCATTGCCACTGTTGTGCTTGTATACATTACAGTTACAGTTACAGAAGCTTGATGCTGCATGCTTTGAGAGCAAAGTCATGAAACACCAGTGCTAAGGACAAGATTTGAAAGAGAAAAAAATAAACCTCTCTGAAAGTCTCAAGTGCTGCCGAGGGGAGGGAAATGTCCCAGTGCAGTGCTGGAGTTTCAATTGGGTTCCCATGGTTCCAACAAGGATGGAGACATTTGCCTTTTCACATGCCCCTGTTGCTGAGCACCTGTGCCATCTCTGCCAGGGGCATCTCATTTCTCCTCTCCCCTTCTCTTATCTGTACCCTGTTTGTTAATATTAAACAGGCAGATTACTCTGTTCCCATGTGCCTTGAAGGTGGTCATCCCGCATACAAGGTCAGGCTTGCGCGAACTGGCCACGCTGTCGTACCCAGCAAGTGTGCAGGGAGGCATCCAGTGGGGTTGATGAGCTCAGAGCCATAGACTTGCTCCAAACGGTGCCTCACATAGGCATGCAGTTGCTGGTACAGAGGTTTTATCTGGAGGCAGAAGGAGAGGAGGAAGTAAATTAATTTTTCTTGGCTCTAGCCAACTTGTCCTCCTGAACAGAGAGCCTCAAAGGTATTTGATGGGATTTCCCCTACAGGTAAATGCACACCATGCTTGTGGCTGTTGTTCTCACCTTAGAGCTTAAGCACCAAGGCCATATTCTAGCCCCAGATGTCCTGCTCAGCTATTAGTAAGGGAGCATTTCTAGTTTTAGACATGGAGTGACTAGGCTGCTATTTACCCTCACAGGGTCTACTTGGAAGCAAGATAAGGACCTGAAGCCTTTGGCAAGGCACAACCTGTGGGACCAAACTGCACCATCCCCACGTGTGGCAACTGTTTGGGGACTGTGGCAAGGGGCATCCTTTAGAATTTCTTTTAGAGGCTGGTACAAAGTCTGCACTGAGAAGATCAAGAGGAAAAGAGCACTCCAGAAAAGGATACGAACGTATATGCTCTCTGCTTCTTTCTTTTGGGCTTGTCATTGAATGGCTGCAGAGGTAAAAATGCCATTGATGACCCCCAACAGCTGTTCAACTCCATGTAGACTAAGACTGGCTAGTCTAGAGCAAGTCTATATTCTTCCTTCACAACATTAGCACATGATCCTACCATGACAAAATACAGTCCAAGAGCCCCATAAGAGATTTTCCCTTCTCCTACCTGCTCAAATGTCTTCTCCACATCTTGAACCAGCTGGTCACGGCTGTATTTATACTCTTCTGGATAATCAGTTTCATAATTTGCTCTCCAGTAGTCTCCATAGTCAGAATAATCTGAAAAGCAGGAGGTATCACCCCAGGACACAGCACAAAACATAGCTCAGTCACCAGCAGCAGTGCAGCTCCCTGTTGACCCCATGCAGACCAACAACAGCCTTTCCCCAGAACTGAAGTAACACTAGGTTGAAAATTCAGCTTGCCCTCAAAGCACAACAGCACAGTTCTGGGGAAGGCAGTATCTATGGAAGGGCAATGTTATCGCATTTGGGAAGAGTGTCAACAAAGACATCCCCCTTTTGTTCCAGGCTGGCAACGTAATTCTGATCTGCTCTTTGGCACGTCTGCACTGCATTTTATTTTGCATCATGCACACTGAGAGCAAATATGTACAAAAAACCCACCATCAATGTGTAAAATGATCTGGTTTGTAAATTCTGTGCAAATTGTGCAAGATTAAGGTCAAGTCAGGAAAAAAAAGAAAGAAAATGCAACTCACTATTAAGCCTTGCAGCCTCATTTTTAAGTTCAACATACTCTTCATATAATGGTCTCATCATCCTGCCAATATCAGCTCTCCAGCCTTCCCAGGCCCACAGTCGCTCATGATAATCTATGCTATTGGCCATAATATCATCCAGACCTGTCAGAATAACAACAAAAAAATAAGTACCAGGCCTTGAAAAAGCAGAATCTCTTTATTTTTCTTTCACAGCAGGCAAATGAACCAAAGCAAAAGAAATGCCATAAGCTAAGATATATGTGTTTGATATATTAAAAAATCCCATTATTTTATTGCATCCTTTTTGATTTAAGGTTTTCCCTTCCTTATCTTTAAGAGACATAGAACAGACCATGAGTCAGTTAAATCAGCCATGCTGTCCCCCCGCTTCCCCTTGACTTGGCAGTGTTGGACTTGGACTGGCCTCTCCCTGCTGCCATCCTTCTTTTGATGCAGCCCAGGATGCAGTTGGACTTCTGGGCTGCAAGAATACACTGCTGGCTCATGTCCAGCTTCTCATCCATCAAGATCTCCAAGGTCACTGAACTGCAAGCTGCAATGAAACTCTGACTAAGTTTTAGATAGCAGGATATAACTATGGGTATATCTGGAGAAACTGTTTTCTCACAGTTAGGAGGGTCTCATGCATTCCCCTCACTTTCTGAACTCACACTACGAAGGGCACCATAGGAATACTTGTTAATGCCACACCTGGCTCCAGCACCAAACAGTCGAATGGTTCAGTGGCTTTGCAGACGATCCCAGTGCTGTAGATGGTGCTCATTGAGTTCATCACAGAGTTCAGCTGCAAATTAGATGTGAGATATCCCATTAGAAACACACTTTGTGCAAAATAACAGCCAGTTGTGCTGATTCCTTAAGAGCTCTATTCAACACTTCACACACGAGCTTAACACTTCAGCCTATATCTAAGCTCAGTGTAGATTAATGACAGAATTTGCCTGAACACATTACTAAAGCAGAGCCTAACTGGAAGAGACAGATAATTTCTTGAATATATGACGTAACCTTTAATATCCATTCTGCAGAGCTCTGCATTTAATGAACTTGAACTGTCAATAGACACATGCAGTAAAGCAATAAAATTTAGCAACACGCTCTCATGAACATGGATCTATCTATAGCCTCCCCATGGGTTGAAGCAACAGCAAGAAAGGCCCCTTCTATGCAGGCAGCCAGGCTGAGCTCATCGCATCGCATCCACACACACACTTGCTCAAAGCCCACCACTGAAAAGCTGCTGCCCAGATTTTGCGTCAGCTGAAGGCCAGATGCATCTGGAATCATGGAATCATTCAGCTCAGAAGCTGCACTCCACAGCTTGATCCATTTTTTTTTATTTTTTAATGTTTTCAAGTTTTTGTGTCTCATGAAAAACACATACTACCTTTAGCATTTCCTTTAGGACTAGTTTTTTTCCTCCATTTAAGCTTTAAACCAGAACCAGTTACAGCTGTCAGTGGGAGGAGTCATTAACGACTAGCTCCAACTTTATCACAGTCAGCATTAAAATGAATGAGGATTCCAGGAAATTTTTGTGTCAGTGAAAAATATTTAAAGAATACAGAATCCTATCAGACTGCAGAAAGTCACTTTTCATGCAAAAATCAATCATTTCAGCCAAAAGACTATTTATCTAGGAACCGGGATGTGTCTAAATGTAGACGATACTGAAGAAAATACCTCCTCAAGAGAGACAGCACTACTATTAGTGCACTGCTGTGCTCCAAAATAAATACATATTTCTAGGAACCTTCAGCATCCCTAGCAAGGCAATCTGTCTTTCCAGAGACACATCTTGTTTGGACCATACAGAAAGCCCAGCCAGTCTGCACATTACATCATTGTGGCTAACTCTGCTGATCTTAGCCAAAAAAATCTCAGTATGCTTCCACAGAACATAGCATAGAACCCCAAGTCAGAAGGGACTCACAAGGATCATCAGGTCCAACTTCTGGCTCCTCAATAAGGAGGACCATAGGATTCCCTATCTCAGTGTTATCTTACAGTGTGATCTTCAGCCATAAAGTGCCAACTCAACCCTTGAGTGGGTTATAGATTCCTTTTGAGTCTGTGGAGCTCACTGCGTTGTTCACTGCAATTCCACATACAGTTGCTATCATAAACATGCGTTTTATGTGAAGTCTTCAGTGAAAATTCAAACCTCATTCTGAATCTTGCTAAATGTTGGCCTCAGCATCTTGCTGAAGAAAGGCTCTTTCTGCCTCCACCTTCCTGATTCACTGAGCGTCCTTTCACCCACCTCCTTCTGCTTATTACCCTCGCTGTGCACATAGCTGCGCACTCAGCACAGGTCCTCCTTTCCCATATGACTAATCCGGCCACTTGTGCAAGGGCAACTCTGAGGCGGGTACAAGTTTGCAATTTATTGCATGGATAACACGACAAACTGCTGACATGAGTGGGAAGCAACTTCTAAGCCAGACATCCCTTGTATTTCTAAGGTCACCTGGTGCAGGTACGTGCTCCTGTAAAAAGCACAATTCCGAGCCAAGCAGGGTGGTGACAGCTCCATACCCTTGCTCATGTAGCACAAATGAGCTATGCTCAGCAACTTTCTTACCCTGCTGTATTTTTCCGGTGACAGCACAGAGGATCCCCTGTCCTGCAGAGACTGGATCTGGAGCCTGGTGGCAGCATCCTGGATGTCAGCTAGTGAGAAGCGGCTAGCGTTCCTGGAGGCCTCCTCATAAAATGCTGCCCACTTGGTGCCCGCCTCACTCTGCAAGGGGTTCAAACAAATACTGTGTTACAAATACTGCAGCAGGTTGGAAGGGACTTCAAAGCCCACCCAGCTCCAACCCCTGCTGTGGACAGGGCTGCCCCCCATCAGCTCAGGCTGTCCAGAGCTCCATCCAACCTGGCCTTGAGCGCCTCCAGGGATGGGGCACCGCAGCTTCTCTGGGCAGCCTGTGTCAATTGCAATTACATATGTATGAAACTCCAAATGTTAGTGCATGAAGCAACAACAATATGAATATTACTTAGTCTCGAAGCCATCTTCAAAAGATTCCCTCTTCTTTTTTTCGTCCTTTTTCAAATATGTTTGTACAGGGAGATTAGCACATCAGCACCTGTCCAAAATGGCATCAAGAGCAGTACTAATTAACCTCAGCCCTTGGGATAGTTTAATTAATTGTGCACATGCAACTTCCTGGGCTGTGGAGAGGGTGCTTGTAAAATCTGTTACATCTTGCTGATGAAGGATGCAATAAATGCATAATGAGCCAAGGCTTTCTTGAGGCCAGTGACCAGGTTGTTCAGCCCTGTGCTTCAGGGCAGCAACAGACATAAGATGCCCAAACAGCCCCTGGCAATCTTTTCAAATACTCCTCCTTCACAAGAGCAAAGCAAACAGGTCTGCCCATTTCTCAGCAGCTTGCAAAACTGGGCAAGAACTTGATGAGGACCCAGAGGAAGACCATCACTGTGCAAATCCCCAGCTGAGGAAGGAAAGGTGTGCTGGAGGCAGAAGGGCAGGAGAGGGGCTCTGTGATTACAGAAGCATTAAGCTTGCAGTCTGTTTTTTCCCCAATTAAAGAAACTGGTTGATAAGTCAGAGGAACAGTTATGACTTTTGTGGCCCAATTTAGAAGGAAAATGGAAGGGAAGGAGTCAAAAGGGACAGTATTCATTAACTCTGCTCCTCCCACACAGAGGGAGGATGGGAAGCAGTGGGTTTATTACCAACTCTACCAAAGAGATCAAGTGAGAGAAAATATCCTCTCTGAGCACTGGACTAATTGGTTCTTATTGCTGGTATCTCCTCACGTATTTTATTACCATCTCATTAATGCTGAAAGTGCTATATGGGTCTTTCATTTTATGTGTTTGGAAACATTACAGTTTAAGTACCTGGTGCCTTGGAAAGCATTCCAGATTGACAATGATTAGCCATTAGGATTTCTTCCAGTAACCGGTCTCTTTGTTTTAATTAAGAAATACTATAATTAAACCATGTTTTAATTAAGCTGTAAGACAAAGTGGAAGGCTTATGCCATTGCACCAAAGTAGACATAGGATATTCAGCTTCATTTTTATGCTCTGAATTGTTTTTCTCTAAGACTTGAGTTAACCTTAAAAGGCACGTAGCTACAAATCTCTAGGTGCTTTTGTTCATTTTTAATGGCTCCAAGGTTATGAGATGCTAGGCTGCAGCACAGCAGTATCAGCAACTGGTCAGAGCATGGCTGACTGCTCTTGCAAACACAGGCACTTGCCAAGAGACCCAGTTGATTGGGGCAGCAAGATGTTGACGCTGGAAAGCAGGACAAGCTGCTTGAAATATCTTGCAAGTACAATACTATGGTCCTTCCTCAAGATATAAATTCACTTTCAAATCAATGTTCTAGACAACCATACTACAAATTCCACTGTTGATTTTTTGGAAATCTCATCTCAGTTCATTTTTCCCAGTTTAATACCTCCAGCCAATTTCTTAGCAGCTAGAGTTATGAGATGAATTTGCTGGGAAGGTCTAATGTGTAAAAGATACAGAACGCTATACAAGATTACCAGCAAACATTTAGCAAAATATTTGCATTCAGAAAATGTGTGGTAACCTGCTCAGAAACACCACTCTGGGTGAGCTGAGAACAGCAGTGAATGTGGAGGAAGGTCTCTCTCCACCCAGCTGATTTTGGGGCCAAGCATTCAGCACTCTGTAGTCTCTTCCCTCCTCTCATTGGGATGACTTGAAGTGATGGCTGGGAGTGAGTCCAGCCTCCGGCCAACCCTGTGCAATGTGTGGGCAGCCCAGGCACCAGCATCAGGCTGTGGGGGCTATCAGTGGCCTGGGCACTCCAATGAAGCATTACTGTGTTAATGCAAGCCCTTAAAGTAGAACCCAAATTTATGTCCACCTTAGTGGAACCAAAACAAAGTGGAAACTAACAACTGGATTCCCAAAACACTAGTAAAAACCAAGGAATGGAGCACTTACCATTTTCCTGGCTGTCTCCTCAGTTATGTTGGTGTTGTAGTCCCATGAGGCAAGTGAGTTTTCATAGCTGATGTCTTCTGCTCTCGCATTGAACTCTGCCAGAAATGTTTGGGCTTCCTGTGTGACATCCTGGGGGGTCACAACAGCGCTGAGACCACAGAGAAGCCAGAAGTGAACCAACATATTCACCAGCGGACTGAGAACCTCTGGATGAAGTAGGTTTCCTCAGGTGAGCTTCTCTGCCTTCTTCTCATCAGCCTTTACGCATAGCAAGTGTGAACTAAAGAGGCTGAACCCAATTTTCCAGGCCTTTTATAGGTTTTATCCATTGTAGGAAAGAAAGGTAAAAGTTTTTGTAAAAAGCCAAATAAACAAAAGTCAATGATTAACTTTGGAAGAACATTATTACTCCTACCATTTTATGGCCTTCTTATAAAAGGCTTTTACTTTTAGTTAATGTTTCCCAAGTGTGCTGTCAATGATACTGCTGCTCACTTTATCTATAGCCTGCCAGTGTCTTTGGTAGCTCAGAATCTTTGAGTCCTTTAACAGGTTGGTGATAAGCTGTAAAAATATTTAGAAAACTCACTGCAACGCCAAGCCATGACCTTATTTCCCAGGCAGAAAGAAATTACCAATAGCCTAACATAGGGTACCAGGTTGGATGTTCATGTCCATGTTTTAAAAGGCTTTGAAAACTCATTTTCAAAATGAGTAGGTCATATAAAATTTAATTTTTAAGGTGAATTACCAGAAAGGAGCAAGGGACATAGTGGGATCATAGCCTCTGGTGTAGTGATCTAACCTTAACTATAAATCAACTGGATTTAAGTACTAAGATTACTAAGATGATTTCACTTAAATATCTAAATATCTTTGCTAATCTAGCTAGGAACTTAGTACTTACTGCAAATCAATGGGAAAATCGATGTATGAATTCGTTCTGTAAATGTAGCTTGGGTTGAGTGTTATTGATCAGACAGTACCTCAGTACTTCGTAAATTAGCCCATTTCTGTTCAGGATAATGCAGAGGGGGGTGGGAACACATTTTAAGATGTAGCTGCAGCCACATCCATGGGGTTGGTTTCTTGTTTCTCAGCAGAGCTTCTCTGAAAACATTGCAAGTCTGTAACACAGAGAAGCAGCAACCAGCCGCTTCACTGCCAAATCTCTCCTGTCTGCACAGGGCTGAGCACAACGTGGCCTCATCAGGGCCACAACCGGCAGAGGCCCCAGCAAGCAAAGCCTCAAGGGATCAGCCCATCCAGATGTTTGCTGAGAACATGGATTATTCCTGAGTTCTCCTTTCAGAGTGTTACCTTAACCTCATCTCACAGACCTTTGACAAAGAGGAACTCATTGCTTTTCTTGGATCATTCATTCCAGTGTCTTTGCTGTCAGCTCAGTTTTTTTTTCTTTTTTCTCAGTATCTCCTGATACCCATGTCCCATGCACCAAGGATAAGTGATCTCTGTCATCTGTGCAGAATCTTCCAAGAATCTTCTTTTCCCAAAAGAAAGACAACAGCGTTCCTGCAGCCCTTCCTCAGTGGTCACGCTCTCTCGTTGCATGTTTTTCTTGCTGATGCCATTCAGACCCTCCACAATTTGTGCTTTTTCAGAGATGATTTCCAAAACTGATCATAACTGAAACCTTATCAGTCATCAGTACAAGGGTCACTGTCTGTGACTTACATGCTGTACCTTGCTGATACACCCTTCCTTTCTGGAAACAGCCAAAATTGACTCATATTCAGACTGTGAGTTACTTTCTAGTAGCTCTGTTCTCTGTCCAGCCCATCCTCTTTCTCTCTCTGTACACCTGGCACTAGGGCAGCACTAATTACAGCATTTCAGATTTGGCTGAAGTCCATCATGATGATTTCAGATCATTTTTCCAGTTTTTTATGATCATTTGGAATTGTAATCCTTCAAAAGACTCACACGTTGGCAATGCCTGCAAACCTATTACCAGGTTTTCTGTTCTCACATCCAGATCATACAGGATACAGCAAGACCCAGAGAAGCTATCAATTAAAACAGCCCATCTCCTTGACTGATGGGCTGGAGTTTGTTTTTTAGGTAATTATGTGCCTTTTGTGATTCTTGTCTGGCTCATCCTTCCTTAATTTGCTTGTGAGACTGTCATGTGGTGAAGTGTTGACAGTTTTTTTTTAATACCACTTTTGGCTGCTGTTTCTCCCTTACCCATGTGTCCCATTGTCTATTAGAGCAAAGAATGATGTCTATTACCTTGATGTGATTTCTTTTTCAATAGAGAACAGGGACTATGATGACTGTTTGCTTTAACTTTTTTCTTTTCTCTTTTATGCTGGCAAGGTAACTGCACGATCACTGAGCCCAGTACATTTTGGCATGCTAAAACCAGCCCATATGCTCAAAAAATCCAATTTTTCATGCAGGTGCTGTATTTGGATGCAGGACCATTTGTGCCGCAGCACAAAAAGAAACAGGAAACTGAGAAAATGAAGTTCAGTAGGGGCTGTGACGCAGCAGCCATTAGAAGAAAACAAACTGAGAGTTAAGCTCTGGTTGTTGTTATACACAATTGTGGCTGGTCTAGTTGGCTTGTACTGAGACTGAGATATTGCCACCATTGCTGCGCAGAGGCTGAGGTTGCCCTGACATAACAGTATGTGCTCACTCTCCAGTTTGCCAGTCCTCCCCTCCACCCTGGGCTCTGCAGTGTGAGCTGTGGCCCCCAGCTGCTCCCAATCTGCTTAATGAGCTGCCCACCAATGTTTGATGTACCTCGGCTCTGACAGAGCTGCTTCTGCCTCACTATTCACAGTGCTGACTGAGCTGTGCTATGAAATGAGAGCTGTGATAAGAAAGAATTGCATTTAGGACATGCTTCAATAAGAAAGCAGTGCATTGTGCATTGGGCACCACACCCTTCAAATAGCTTAAAATACCATTATCAGGACAGTTTTCCCAGACAGGAGTACCACTTAAGCTCTGCTACACTTTATCATTCTGCCTTTCTGCTCAGTACATAAGAGTATTGCTTGGGAACTGATTTGCAGAGAGGGGCTCAGAAGGGACGCAGCTGCAGGGTGCCTGGCCTGGAGTATCCTCAGGAAGACCAAAAGCTATCCTATTGCCTGTGCAGGGCTGTAGCTGCCCTGCTTCTCTGCTGTTTGCTAAAGAGAGGTTCACATCAGTTAAATACCTGGCAGATCCTTGCTCTGACGGCTCCCTGTAAAATGGCTCTGAAGAGGCAGCGAAGGCCCAGGGGTTGCTCATTGCCCTGATGCAGTTCTGAGAGAGGGCTGCACTGCCTCAACAGCTCCTGGGCATTGCTGGGGGCAATCCCAAAGCCTCTCCCTCATCCTCGCACTCCAAACAGGGGCTGGGCAAACAGTCCTTCTAATCCCCAGAGCAGCCTGTTTCCCACATGAGTAACTCTTCGGCATGTGTGGTGTCTGACATTTCTCGGACATAGCCCCTGCGGCTGAGCCAGAGGCAGGATGCTGCATGGCCGCATTCCAGTGACTGGATCTCAGACCTAAAAAGAAGTTGTCACCTCTGCATTGCTCCTTTATGATCCAGGGGCTGACAGCTGCTTAAAGCTTGCTGAGCATCACCTAAGGGTCAAGCAAGTCATGGGCAGGAACAAACCCTGCACCTGAAAACAATACTGAAAGCTAAGGAAAGTTGCTGATAAGAGCGTGAAGCATCAGGAAACGGAAGTGTTTTTGCAAGGTTTAGGATAAAGCAGTGAAGCTGAGTGGTTTTCAGGAAGGCATAGAAGAGCATACAAGCAGGCAGGTTAGTAATATGAAGTGTCCTCATTTGTACTGGGGAAGGCCACTGTCAGTACAATACCTTATAATCATAGAATCACAGAATCTTGAAGGTTGGAAAAAACCTCCAAGATCATCTATCCTGTCAGCCCAACCCTACCATGCCCACTAACCATGTCCCTCAATGCCACATCCACATGTTCCTTGAACACCTCCAGGGATGGTGACACCACCACCTCCCTGGGCAGCCTGTGCCACTGCATCACCACTCTTTCTGAGAAGAAATTTTTCCTAGTATTCATACTGAATCCTTACACTTTGCCCAATTATAAAGAGCCACTTTGCACCAACAGCTAAGGGAAAGGTATTAATCTTGTGATATGCAGCTTTTCCTCCAGGCAACCAGTGTTTCACATTTCATGATCACTAAGGAGGCAGCAAGTGGTCTCATTTCATTTTCAAACAGCCTTGTATCCACATATCAGCCTCTGTAGCATTGTTCAGATCATGGAAGAACATAAGTCCAAAGTCTAAAATTCCTGCTGGTCCACAACTGATAAAGGCTGCATATGGTAATTTGTAGCAATTAAGATCTCAAAGATAGGAGAGCAGCAGAAGCTGATAGAGGGATAATGCCAGAAAAAAGCGGAGCTTGTGCCATTTCTCAAAAATTAAATGTTTTCTGTTTAGTTATTGCTGAAGCAAATAAGATGCTCTGACAGCTTCAAGTTGTCATCTCTAAGGAAAAGGGAAACAGAGCAGGAAGAAAGAGATGTGACTAACAAAACCAAACTCTTTTTTAATGATCCTGAGCAAAATCCAGTTCCCGCTGAAGCTCCTGCATTTGCTGAGAGCAAGGTTGAAGCTGTACTATAAAGCTGTAATTCCTCCACATCGTTTTGGGCAGAACTGCCAGCATCAATCCAGCCACGAAATATCCAGCTGTAAATGCAAATGCATTATGGTAAGTGCATCTGCAGCAGTGCTTAGTGTATTCAAAAAACTGAATACATTGACAGATTTGTGCCAGCAAGTGTGTGTCACTGACTACTGTCAATGTTCTTCAGCTTTAAGCGATGTGAAAACTACCGAGTTTAGCCCTTCAAACTAGGCGTATCTAACAGTGCAAACTTTACCTTAGCAACTGCCCAGTAGCCTAGGAAGCTGCAGCGTCACTCTATTGCACACATCTCTTCTTACACGCCACATTAAAGGGAAACAAAAACCACGAGAGGCCAAAAGAAACCGCTCATACAAAACCAAGCACAGATTGCTCATTGCTAATGGGTTGAGGACAGTTGAACAATGCATTTTCTATAAAAACCCAGCACATTTAAAACAGCTAATTTCATACGTTGCAGGTTATGAAGTGACCAAATGCCTGAGATGTATTTTTATGAGTATCTAGAAGCATAAGCACCAGCTTTTTACTGAGAGTTATTTTCAGTCTTTATTGCAGTTCTTTCCCAAGCTTTAAAGTAGGTATTTTATTTTCCCACATGTGGAAGGTTACACTTGAAAAACTCTTCAAGATATGGTAATGTTCCTTGCTTGGTCAAAAACAACACATGAGTTGTCAAACCAGAAGTTCGTATGCTAATACAGCGATTTGCATTCATTGGAGAATTATTTTATTCTAAGATGATGAAAGAACAAGATCTGAATTTTACCCTACGACTCCTTGTGCCTATTTCACCTTTCTTGTTTGTGAACAGCGGCAGAAATGGTGAAGTGCCTTCCAATGTATCTTCCCCCAAAATACTGAACAAATGAAGCCCTCTGTGAGGGCACAGCCCTCTTCATGGAGGTCAGTATGACCAACAACTGTTCTACCCGGATGAACAAATAGGAGCATATGGCTGCAAGAGGGGCATGGGGTAACATCTCCAGGATCTTCAGCCCTTGCAGAGCCACAGGGGGAATATTCAGTTCAGGTCTGATTACTAGAATTCAAGAGGGGGTGCATTTAAAGGAGAGTGCTGCAGACAGGCCCCTCCTCCCAGGGATTTTTTCTGGAGGAGAAGAGAATGGTGATGTGACAGCACAGTTTTGTCCAACACACAGTGACATCAGATTGTAGAACAGTTAGATTGCCTTAAAGCAAGTGGCAGAATATGGGTCCAATAAGGTCGTTAGCATCTGCCCAGTTTGTCATCTTCCCTAAATTATAAAGTTATAAGTTAATTTATACAACCAGCCTGTGGTCAATGCAATGCTCAAGGTTCTGTACAGAAAGTGGTTGTGTCAAAATCTGTTCAGTCTGTAATTTAAGGGCAGTGTCTTAAAGTTCCCAGTGTTCTCCAATGCTAGAAGTGCGTAGATACTGAGCGGCAGTGTAAACAATTTACTTGTTCATGATTTGTGCTTATACTAATGCAGACATCAATACCCTGTCACAAGTAAGCAGAACAGAACTGCAGCATCCTTCCTGAAATGTTGACTCATGGGGAATGTGGAGCTGGTGATAAATGTTGCAGATCTTCAAACAGAACTTCTCTGTTTTTGCTGTTCTGTTTAATTGAATTTTCTTCTTTCCTCTCTCTTTTCTCAAAGGCAGCTCCTGAAAATGAAACAGTTCTGTCTCGAGCACACCATGTTCTTTTGCTGAAATTCATTGGCTCAGCACAAATACAACTGACTCATTGTATTAGGAAGTATTTTACTGTATATTCTGTCTCTTGTTTCTTACTTTCTTGTTATTATCAAGTCTTTTGATGGCAGGTGGTTTAGAGAAAAAAAGCAGAAATTACAAATGGTGAAAGTTACATAAAACATCTGGCCAGGTCCTCAACAGATATAAATTGTCTTTGTAACATTTGCAGGTGCTGGAGAACAGGCTTTACCAAATCAAAGCGCTCTTTGTTTTCTAATAGGTTTCTGCTACACAGAGAGACTGGAAAAGAGATTTATTTCCTCTGTAGCAGCATGCCCTTGATTAACCTCATTTGCAGCAGCTATTTCAATTAAAGAGCTAACACCAACACTGACTTCTAAGCGCTGCTAAGTGTGATACCTGTCTGCTCATGTATCATTTACTTCTCTCAAGCCATTTTCTGTCAGTACGGAGACAAGCAAGATGTATGCTGTGGGTGAGTCCCATATCATCATTAGCAGAAAATTACACCAAACTGCTGTAAAGTAATTACACTGCTGAGAGGTGAGCCAGGAGGAAGCCAGTGATTAAATACGTGCCACTAGTGCTAAGCCCACACCACACAGTGTTTTGCTCAGAGGCTTTCAATCTATTTTCCAATTGCTGGCCACTGCCACAGGCTGAATCAGACCTTCACTCAGGCCACGGAAGTATGCTCAGCCCTCTGTCATACTAAATGAATTTTATTCTGGTCTCATACAGCAGAATACAGAACCACGGTAGTTTTTATACAGTAGCTTGGGGTTGCTCTTGCACCATCAAGCTCTTCGTACTGAAATCTTTCACAGGCTATTGCAGAGGTGCTGCTGCTACAGCAGTCTATTGTGGTCGTGCCGCCGTGTAGCTATCTGTCATATAAAGAATGTGAAGAGTGCAAAGGTTTGGAAATGATGCGATCGGAATTACCAACATAAAACTCTGACTGAGTAAAAGACCTGGGAGCAAGGACTGAGGAAGCAATAATAAGACTGTACTCTGTATCTTCCCTCCAAATGATCTTAAACAATAGCAAGCTTAACCTTTGATGTACCTATGAGAAATATGTCTCTGTGTTGTTGAATGCTATTTGATGCAATGAGATGTTATCATCAGTAACTGAGAGGCGAGCAGTGCACCCTACAAAACATGGAGAAGTCACATTCCTTGTCCAGAGAGGCCCATCACTAGGACACAGAAGGAGATCAAGTGAGGCAAATGATTGGTGGGACCACAGTTTTATTTCATACTTTGCCCTCCTCCCCCTACCCTCACCCAGCTCTGCACTCCACTTGCTCAGTGTCCCTGCTTCACCCTGCTGTTTCCCCATTCCCCTCCCCATTCTGCTCACCCCATTCCCAAGAGCCAGAGCCAAGCCAAATGGATAGCCAAAGATGCCTGATACAGCCAAAATGCTAAAGAATTTGTACCTGAGGGCATGAGAAGCCTCCTTAACTTTCAGGACACTGGAAGGTCCTTTACAAAGAGCTTTTATCCTGATTTAACCTGTTCCTATGGGTGAAGGATCCAATTGCATAGAATAACTATAATAAGCAAACGAGTTTTCTAACATTGTCTCCAAACATGGTGCTGAAAATGTGATAGCTAATGGTCAGAACCTACCTCCAGTGATGTGGGCAGCCATTTGGTGACCACAGATGTCCTATTTTACTTCAACATGTTTATATCCTCTGTCTGCAATTACCCACACATGAAACTCTCCTTTACTCAGGCCCAATTCTTCTCAAATCAGCAAGAAATATATCACTGGTTTAAATAGGGAGAAGATTAGGGCATAGATAGCTTAGTCTGTATGTATGGCTGATGGCAAAGTAATCCAGCAACGAAATTTAGTGCCTGGTATCGTTTGATACCTCAGCCTCCAGCCACATACCTAGGAAACCCAGGTCTGAATGCTCTCTGCCCTCAGCCAGGCATGATGTATGAAAAACAGCAGCTGGTGTTTCAAGGGCTGAACGAGCTATCCAGCTGCCACATGAAGATTTCAGTTGACCTTAGGCTCAGGGTCATATAGCTTGGAAATCTGCTTTAGTTTTATTATTAAGAAATGTAAGGAGAATTTTTCAAACAAGTGAAATATGCTCTCAGAAATTCAATGAGAGTTGGGCCACTGGCCACAGGAGGCACCTGTGGAAAATCCCCCTTTCCTTTTAATTTAAAAAAAATCAAAATCTTGCCATTTTTGGTTTCCGGGTCATGTAATTTATGACTTTTTAACATGAAAAATACAGTTATTACAAAATTTTTGCTAGTCCTTAACACTGTAGATGGCCCAGCCACTTATTAACCTGCTTTTACAGAGGCTATCAGAGCTTTTATTCCCCCAAATAAACTAAAAGCTTCAGGCACTGATCACTATTCCATCCAAAAGCATACAGTGTATCAGCAAACAGAACTCAGCTTACAGAGAAAACTTTTGTATATGGCTTAAAAGAAAGCCCAGACAGAATTGACAATGATAGATGGTCTCCCCTGTGACAGTCAAGAATAATGCAGTTTCATGTTTATATCAAGGGAAAACAACAATAGACATTTAAATAATCATTAAAATTAAATGCCTGACACAAGGCAGGTTTCAGCTCTGTTGTCACACATCTTTCTGAAATCTTAAATGGCTATAATGTGAGGTCTTCTCATTTGCTTTGCTCACAAACAAAAGCGTTGTAATGGAAGCTCCAGTGTATGTGTTATCAGTAAAAGGTTCTCTCAAGGGAAATTAAGTGAAAGGACATTTTTCTTGTCTTCATGTTTGACATTCAGCAGTAGAGACGAGATAAGGTAGGCACAGGAGTCTTTCAAAAGAGCACCAGATAGCAATGGCAGCATTTCATAAGGACGTGAACCGTTCATCATCTGCTGCAAAGACTCCATTAACGTGGCCTGCTTTTAAATCCAGTGTTTCACAAGGAATCCCATTTTCTATTGTTATTGTCACTTCGCCTTTCTCTTCTAAATTTTCTCTCTCTGTTGACTCTTTATTCTTTCTAAAAACAAGGAAGAGAAAATTGTCTTATTCTATTGACCTGCAGCACTCCACCGAGATTTCACAGACAGAAAACTGCACACTTAGACAGAAGTTCACTGTAGGTTATGTACTGAAAGGCATAATCTGTCGCAGAGGCTCCCCAGCATTATTTACTCTTATATTCACTTTAGCTGCATTAGCTCACGACCACCTACAAGTGCAAAAGCAGGCAGCCACGCTCAAAGCCTCCTTGCTGTTGTAAACACACCAACAAAGGTGGGAGGCTTTTCCTTCCTGGGGCAGGAAACTCGGGTTTAAGTGGTTTGAGATCAGGATTGGGAATCAGAAATCCTGGAGTAAAAATGTTGTAAACATACATATCACTTTGGCCCCTTGTTCTGTAAAATGACAGAAGGGTAAAGTTGGTGTAGGAGAAAAATGGAAAAAACCTATTCATCTGTTTTTTGCTTGAAGTCAGAAAGGACTGCCCTACACATCTAGCCTGTTATGTATGTCAGAGATTTCAACCAACCTATTTGGATAAATTAAGATATACTTTTTAGAAACAGATCAGCTTTTGACTAAAGCCTCCAGTGATGGAGATCCAGGCACACTCAGACTCCCTGATGATCCGCTCCAAAAGTCAGGCACTCTTAGCACTGTAAATCTGCACTTCTAGTTCTAACTTCATTAACAGCCAGCTTCCAACGCAGTATCTTATTATACTTCTGTTTTCTAGATTAAACAATTGCATAGCTTTCATTTTTATGTGCCACAGTTCTCACAACCATATTAAAATAATAAAAAAAATTACCTAAAATGAAAACCACAAGAAGGCATTATACAGAAATATCAGTCAACATGTCACAGTGTTCCTTTAATTCCAGATTTATTCTAACCTTGAGATCTTCTAGTTCATAGTGGAAAAATGTTCTGTACTTTACAACCTGCAGCATCAGCGGTTTCAGAGGATAAGAAACTCAAAGGTCAGCTCTACTGCTTCTTCCTATCCCGCAACATATACTGTAACAATCTGACTCAGGACAATCATAACAACCTGACTCAGTATAATTGTTAATAACAGTGATATTAAGAATAATAAAATTTTATTGGCCTTTGGGAAATTCTTGGCATTACAAGCCTGCTAAAAATAAACTGTGGGGGTAATGGCAACCTCTGGCTGCCCCTTTTGCTCTTGCAGTGATGAAAGGAGGGTTCTTTAACAGAAAAAGTGTGGACAGAAAAACATAGAGACAGTACTAAGGTGCAGATTCAAAAGAAAAGAGAGGAGTAGAAGATGTGTGGAACTTGTTGCTGTAGTAATTCAGAGAAGCTAAGAATTGCTGAGTTCAAGAGGAGACTCAACAAGTCAAGGGAAGTGAAAACACTATGGGTTATTCAAGGCATACATATCAAATCCAGCTTAGGAGGGCTTTCAACTGCAAAATAAATACTTGGAGAGTAATAGAGGGAAGCCCTGCTGAAAATGGGAAGTTGGGGAAAAGGATATGCCTCACTTTAACCCAGCATAGCCAGTAATGAAGCAAAAGGAGGGGAAGGGGAGGG